AGGAGCCAAAGAGGCTGCACGCTCTGGAACTGAGCCTTCCGGGGAATGATGCGGGACCGCGTGCGTGACTCAGACGAAGGTGGTCAAGGCATTGGGAAAGGGAAACCGATTGCCGAGAAAGGGATTGGACATGGGATTGCCGTACTGGAAAGGTTTTAGCATTTGCCTGGCCGGCTTATCCTTGCCGTCATAGTAGAAGCGTACAAAGGCATGATGCAGGCACCCATTTTGGGTGTGACTATCCTTTTCTTGTACAGTAATGGATGGTGCAGGGAGATTGGTGGAGTGTCCTTTTGAAAGACCACATGTAAGAGGACTCGTGGCGCAGAAGACAGAACCATACTGAAAGCGCAGATAGCCTAAGGCCCAAAACTAAGTGACCCTTGGTTTGATGACCAAACATTGAGAGAGTTGTGCAAAGATCAAGACCAATGAGCAGGGGTACAACTTTCCCATCACCGCCGGCAGCTGATATTATTCATTATGCCTGGCAATTCCTGAGTATGTCTGTACATATGCATACATACGGGGCGTACAACGTACTTGATCTTCCTTGAAAGGTTGCATCCAAGCTCTTGACACTGCTGCCAACAATCGCAGAATGTGCAGTTGAGGCTCCTGTAAGTTGCAATACTCCAACGAGCCTGTGGCCCAGTTAAATGGTCTTGGTAGTACCACTGAACAGCTGCAAGTTGCCGCCGCCCGAACAGCCAGGAGTACAGACGGACCATGGAAGGATGTGATGAACTCAGCTACTCAATAACGCTTGAGTTGTCGTCGTGCATGCAAGACCATCATGTGGCGAAAGAAGCTCCATTCCTCAATGTAGGATTCCAAAGGATGCCTCGGTTTGCTCATTTGGCATGCATGCAAAAGTATGCATGAGGCCTGGAACTTCCAGGTGGCTTCCAAGTCAGTCTGGATCTTTGAAGAAGTTGCTGCAGTTGCAATCACGTGCTTCGCAGACACTCACAATTGCTAGTGGTAGCGGCGAACTTAACTCAAGAGATGTCACTGTTCAAGGCTGTCCACAAAATGACAATCAGAACAGGAAGCACTCAGGTGTGAGAGACCAGGTTCGATTTGTCTTTGGTTCATGGAGGTGTTGTTCAAAAGATCGCCCCAGGGAATCGCATAAAGAGCGCTCGTGCAACGAGATTTGCTGGTCACCAACAATCAAGTGTTTCTAAGTCGTCACCAATCATGAACATATCATGGCATGCAAGTAGAAGACGGAATCCACGCCATCTATTCCGTCACACTTTCTTTGGTGAGACTGCTCAGTGGCCTTAAGTCCTCTTCTTTTCCAACACTCATGACTCTACAAACCTTGTTTCCAACACAATGTTTGCATCTCTAAATGAGGGGCATGCGGAAGGCAATCCTTTGTCGGGAGAAAGAGTTGCATGAAAGAGGACATATGTTTTTGAAGTGAGCGTTTGGAGGGACCGAGATAGAAGCTCTCAGGAAGGATACTGAATCAATCAAAGTTCGTGGAAAGGGAAGATTATCAATGGGTAGCATGAAGGAAAGCCCTTTTGTCTTGTTCCTTGCGCACACATACACACACACTTATATAAGAAATGCGTAAGGAAATTGAATGCCGCTCGCCACACGGCAACCTAGGTAACCATATTCCTGAGAAAAACATGTAAGGGGGTCCGAGCATCCTGGAGGTCAAATCAAAAAAGAGAGGCCCAAAGTTCCAAGTTCAAAGTCGATGATCGCGATACAACAGGATGACGCCGGTCCGTGCAAGTCTGCGGAACTCACTAGCACTTTACAGCGCCTGAAGAATCTAGAAACAGCCTGAGCGACGGCGGACCATTGGAGTCATTGCGTTCAAAGCAGGTACGTCCGTGAGCGTCCCCACCGATATCAGTGTTCAATGCAAGCCTCTTCGTTGGGCCGGTACTTGCACGAACAACCAGCCCCCCGCTAAATCAAAACTAAAAAAAGGGTAACGAATCAACGGATTCCCTGTGATTCCAAGGGTTTCACCCCCCACGTGGGGGGGGCCCCAAAAACTAAGGGGCAAACAAATGTGCATGTGCGCGCAAAGACGACAAAACTTGAAGACATGAGAAGAAGACAAGACACGACCAGTGTGCGTGGTTGCGATGAAGGGGAAGCCAAGGGAACAGGGACAACCAATGAACCAGACCACATATCAAGACCTAGGCGACCTGAAACCTGGGTTAAGTGTAAAAGTGCATGTGCGCGGACACCTAAGGGCCGGACCGGTGTGCGTGCAAAAGAATGAAAGGAATGAGATGACAGGACATGAAGGCGGAGAAGACATGAAAGGAAAAAGGCAAAGAAGTGTGTGTGTGCCCCTTGTAGTCACAGGGATTCTTTTGAATTGTTTCCATTTACTTCAGCAGGGGGCAGTAGCCCACTCATGAGTCTACTGCCAACGAAGCTGCTCATGAGTTGGGAGGATATCGGAGCTGATCACTCCGACGTACCTGCTTGGTTGTGGCGTTGACAAGCTTTCGCTCCAATCTTCACGTAAAGGGCTAATGAGTTCTGCAGATGTGCACGGACCGCCGTCATCTTGTTCGACCCGCGATCGTCGATTGGTTTCTTCCGCTTTGGGCCACTTCTCCTTTTGAAGACCTCCAGGATCCGTGGTTCTTACTTGTACCCTTAGGAAATGGTACCCTAGGCCGGCGTGTGGCACCGCTGTCAGTCAGTATGCATATCTATAAGTGTGTCTCTCCTAGTGAGAGTCCGGGATGAGCCCGTAGAGTGCCTCCCGTGGACCCGTCGAACGGGTGTCTGTCTCTGTTTCCAATGCCGTGGAAACGCACATGCCCAGAGCGGGCGTAGGAGGCTTACGCCAAAGTTATTTGCCAAGACCTGACGGATTATTGAATTCCAAGTTGGCTCACGACTCATGCCTTTACGTGACCGCAGCGGTCAAAGGTGGCAGCCCTCGGGCAAGCCGTACGTGGTCGCAGTGACCAAAGCTTGTTCAAGGTTCATTGGAACCTGTCCCCCTCTCAGGTGCACACACAGCGCTTACATTCAAACGAGGCAGGTCCCTAGGCACTTCTAATGAGGTTTGGTTTCATCGGTTCTCGTTCCCTCCATTTGGTTGCCCTTTCATCCCCTCCCCTTCACACACTTTTGTTTCCTCTTTTCTTTCATGTCCTCCTGTCTTCATGTCTGGTCATCTCATCCTTTTCTTCGTTTGCGCGCACATTGGTCCCGACCTTAGTGTGTACGTGCACTTGTACATACATTTAAACACAGGTTTCAGGTCGCCCAGGTCTTTACAATGAGGTGGGCTTCATCGGGTGTCCCTGTGCACTTGGTTCCCCTTTCATTTCAACCGCACGCACCTTTGTCCCGTCTCGTCCTCCTGTCATGTCTTCATTCTTTTGTCTCTTGTGCGTGCGCGCGCGCGTGCACATTTGCCCTCGCCTTAGCTTTACGCCTTTTTTCGGGGAGGCGTGTGTGTGTGCGCCCCTTGTAGTCACAGGGATTCTTTTGAATTGTTTCCATTTACTTCAGCAGGGGGCAGTAGCCCACTCATGAGTCTACTGCCAACGAAGCTGCTCATGAGTTGGGAGGATATCGGAGCTGATCACTCCGACGTACCTGCTTGGTTGTGGCGTTGACAAGCTTTCGCTCCAATCTTCACGTAAAGGGCTAATGAGTTCTGCAGATGTGCACGGACCGCCGTCATCTTGTTCGACCCGCGATCGTCGATTGGTTTCTTCCGCTTTGGGCCACTTCTCCTTTTGAAGACCTCCAGGATCCGTGGTTCTTGCTTGTACCCTTAGGAAATGGTACCCTAGGCCGGCGTGTGGCACCGCTGTCAGTCAGTAGGCATATCTATAAGTGTGTGAAAGGGGAAGGATGAAGGGGGAAGCCAAATGGAGGGGCCGTCAACAACGAAGCCAAACCTCATTATATAAAACGAACCTGTTTGGTATGTGTGAGCCGTGTGTGCACCTGAGGTTGGGACAGACCCCACTAGGTCTTGAACAAGCTTCGGTCTGCGACCACCTCGTGGCGTAAGCCTACTCACGTCCGCTGTGGGCACGTTCTGGCGTGGTGTAGGGCTGCCTACTCAGGCTCAATAGTCCGTCAAATCTTGGCAAATGACTTTGGTGCAAGCCTACTCAGTCCGCTGCGGACACATATGTTGTTCAAGGGGAATTTAACCGAGACAAACCCCTGTTCAACGGGGCCACAGGGGACACTCCTCGGGTACACCCTGGGTTTTCACTAACGAGAGACACACTTATAGGAAATGCGCACGGAAATTGAATGCCGCTCGCCACACGGCAACCTAGGTAACCATATTCCTGAGAAAAACATGTAAGGGGGCCCGAGCATCCTGGAGGTCAAATCAAAAAGAGAGGCCCAAAGTTCCAAGTTCAAAGTCGATGATCGCGATACGACAGGATGACGCCGGTCCGTGCAAGTCTGCGGAACTCACTAGCACTTTACAGCGCCTGAAGAATCTAGGAGCAGCCTGAGCGAGGGCGGACCATTGGAGTCATTGCGTTCAAAGCAGGTACGTCCGTGAGCGTCCCCACCGACATCAGTGTTCAATGCAAGCCTTTTCGTTGGGCTGGTACTTGCACGAACAACCAGCCCCCCTGCTAAATCAAAATCCCAAGTTAAAGGTAATGAATCAACGGATTCCCTGAGATTCCAAGGGCTTCACACACACAAAAAAACACTCTGAACGCAGCGTTAGTGCTCAGGGCATTTGGTGATTGTGGATAGCCAGGGGTGAGCTGCACCTGTGCACAATGTCCCTTTTTTTAATTATGCGCCAGTGGAGCGCCCTCAATGATAAGGATGTGAAATGCCGGACAACCTTCGAAACTGGCACCAATATCATGAAGGACTTCAAGGACACAATGCCACAAGCGGAAATCATGCTACGACATTTGCACAGCATGCAACATGAAACTGGTCGAGATTGCCGGCTTTTCCCAAACACTCTCCATGTGGTTCTGGTGTTTTCTGGTTGCATTAGGCTCAAGGAACGTCGCTGAGCCTTGATCTCTGTCCACATACCAGCACCTGCATGGGATCCTTTGACCGCTGTGCTATTGTTATTGACGTGCGTGAACAGTATGAGTGGGATGCTGGACATGTAAGTTGTGCCACTCGCATTCAAATCCAAAAGTGACTAGGCCGCAGTAGCAATGCTTTGGTGCCGGCTGCAGTTGAGCTGACATGAGTTGATCACTGCCATGGAGCATGAACGGACTATCTCTCAAGTGAATTTCAGGAATCCTACAAATTGGAGACAGGAGGGGTTCTGTGAAGGAAATGGATGGAACTATAGAACCATTGAAACAAAAGAAGGAATGGTAGACGTGGTATACATTTTCAAGTTCTATGAGAATCCTATTTTTTTGCGATTCGGAGGATGTGCTCGCTCTGGCCGGTGGAAACAAGGACGGAGGATGTTTCTGCTTTTGTTTCCGAAATTCAAGGCCTTTGAAGGAAAGATCAAATCGTTTTCTTTCAACAAGTTAGGTTCACTGCCAGTTCAGGTTCCCTAAAAATCTAGGAACCAAATCATTAGTGCGAGCGCTTCTTCAAGAAGTTCCCCCCGCCCTCAGCCGGGGGAGAGCTTCCTTGAAGAAGTGCGAGCTATCCTGCGTCCTAGCTAGGAGCTTACGTAAGCTACTAGCTAGTTCTTCCTCTTTAGCGGCCAAGCCCCCCAGGCTTAAAAAAAGAACATAAAACAATCAAACAAGAAAAACAACAACAACAACAACGTCTTCACTTTGCTCACTTGTTCGTCCTTTCAGGTGTTTCTTCCTACGTGCTGTGAAGGAGACACCCATCGTGACGTACTGTGCAGCGGGAGTCAGGGCTCAATCGGCAGTGGACATGCTCGTTCAAGAGGCACGCGGCACAGCGGCACGCGCAGCACATGCCATCATGCGTTTGTGTGGGTGCTAAGCTGTGAGACTCAGGGCTACACTGACGCTGTCAATGGCGGTGGCTACAGCACCCAGCTGGAGTCAATTTGTCAGGCATGCTTTTCAACAAGTCGTGGCTCAGCTTCAACTTAGAATCACGCAACAGGAAGCTCAGCTGTTCAGTCAAATTCCAACCCGTTGAAAGTTCAGCATCAATTAGGGCCGCAGTCGGGGGCGTCCGGGGACTCTTGCATGAACGTTTGATTTTCTTTGAGAAGCTGAAGGATTGCCTATGGCCTATGGTATGATAGAACTGATGTAGTTGTCTGTGACGATGACACGGATTGCAGTGTCTTTTTTGGTTCATTCATTTTGATTGCTTCGTTGTGAATCTGACTCAAACATCTTAAACAACAGTGCCATTTGCTTGCTTGTGTGGATCTTTGTCCTTTTGCTTTGGCTTCCTTGAATCGCTTTTTCCCTTCAGTTTCCTGCATGAACTTGGCTCCAAGTCTCATTAGGTATTCCTTCATTTTGGGAATGGATGTATGCTTGTTGTTGACCTGGAGGTGAATCCACTTCATCCTTTGATTTGGCTGCAAGTTCCAGCTTTGCAGGCAAACCAAGAACACTTGCATTTGCTTTTATAGATGGCCACAAAATCCACCAGTTTTCATGTCCTGCAGAGTCGTGCCGGCGGCATCTCAGATGACCTGACCTCCACAAGCACCGTGCCATTGATGACGTCTGGAGCAGCCGAGTTGCTGCTTTGCAAGAAACATCCCAAGATATCCTACTGCAAGCGACGAAAGGAAGAAACCAGCAATACGTCCATCCTGGAATCGACAATATTGAGGTTCACCAGCTTTCCCACTGTGTTGCTTCTATCTTTGTTTTGTTTGAGGCAGCTCGGCTGCAAACTGTGCGCAGGTTTCATGCATCGGCAAGCCAGCAATTCATTTCACAAACAGTAAGGTTTTGTCAGCTATGGGAGCAGTTGCTGTTGCCAAGTCAGTTTGCCTCTTGAGGTGCATTCGCGGCTTTCATTGAACTTGCTTCTCTTGCTTGACACAATTCTTTCCGATCCGCTTAATTTATGCACTGCAGGCTTGCTCCTTGCATGGCGGTATTCATTTGTAGACGATGAAAGTGCGCATGTGTGCATGTGGCCCTTCATGGCCCTTCTGGCCGATTGCAGAAACTTTGCACCTTTCCAGGCTTGTTTTAACAGTTGGAAAGGAGGAAGGAGTACCAAGACGTGCTGCCGATTGCCACCTATGCGATAGTGTTAGTTAGGAACGGTTGTAAAAGTACAACTTCTTCGCTTCGACCTAGTTTTTCAATTCGCTCTGCGAATGTAGAGCGTTTAGTGCGGGCTTGGCGACAAAAAGGAGCAGGAGTCGTTGTTTTGTGCTTTCGAACGAGTGGCTAGGGCATCCTGATGGGCAGAAGCTGCTGCAAACATATCATCAATCCCAACAAGCATTCATGGTTCATGTCCTGATGCAGGATTGGCTCGTCCGTTCCTACCGTGGGAATGTCAACGAGGCCTGGGTTTTGGAATTGCTTATAAGTAAGATCTCATAAGCGTTCTTCAAATAGCTGAAAACATATGAAAACTATAGAGTCTATAGAGCTTCTAAATGGTTCTAGTATCTCTCAAAGGGGGCGAGACGTTAAATAACATTCGCGTGTGCTGAAAGTTTTTTGGTATGTGTGTGTACCCCACTAGTTTTGTTGATGTAACCCTGCAGGCTTGGAAGTTACTCTTTCACGAGAAGCTGCTTGAAATTCCGTCCAGGGCTTTCCTTTCTTGTGCTTTCACAAGATGCTGGAAGCAAAGAAGCACTGAGAAAAAGTAACGAGATGCAACAATAATGTCTTTTTGCTTTTTGGGGTTGCTGTCTTTGATGTCGTCTTTACTCCATACTAGTGATGACAAGAAAGCTTTCTTTGATCAAAGATGCTGGTGAAGGACAGACTGACAGACTGCATCAGGTCTGCAGACTTCCTGGCTTCTTTGACGAGAATCAAGCAACAGATGCAAGGCTCCCAGCTTTCATCGGCCTTGGTAAACGGACATTGTTGTGGAAGATGGCAGTTGCTGGTACTTGCCGGTTGTTGGTGGCATGTTCGGTTCCGCTCGCTAGCTTGATCAAGCGCACGCAGCAAAAAGCCGCGCTTTTCGCTTTCGCATTTACCTAGAGCCCAATTCATCTCCGCATTGGTAGCGGAGCCTACCGAATACCGGTGGGCAGGTGCTGTGCCGCACCTAGGGTCAGGGATGGAAACGACGGCCGACACCATCCCTGTTCCCTCATGGGACGGAGCTGAGACTCCTGGTGGCCGAGCCACCCCGCCAGCGGCGGAGCCAGAGGGCGGCGCCCCGGTCCGTGGCCGAGCCACGGAACAACACGGCAGAGCCCGTGAAGAACGTGGACGCTCCACTCATCGAGGTCGAGGCCGCGGACGAGCTCGCCCCGAACTACCACGGTCGCCAGGACACAAAGGAAAAGGTCTTGGAGGCAAGAGTTCAAAGGGCAAAGACAAAGGCGCTGGAGCTGGAAGGGGCCGACATCCCTACACCATGGACGATGCCTACGAGGTGCTCGATGAGAACCGATGGAACCAGATCTTTGGACAATGGTCAGCTGTGGCCGGATGGTCAAGTCAGGTACCTGGCTGGTACCAATCACCTCAGACGGGCATTTGGATGTTCTGGACCGGAGCTCAATGGTTGTCCTATGAGCCATCATCCATGGACGGATCATGGCACCTTCCTCGACGAGAAGCTGAACAAGCAAAAGGTCGAGAGAAAGGACCTCCTCACTCGACTGCATCTACTTTGGAGCACCCGTCACAACACCGTTCAGTAGGAGTTCCACTTCCAGAGGGACATGGACTTCGTGCCAAGGCAGCCCCAAAGGAAGCAGCGAGGAAGGAAAAGAAAGAGAAGAAGGAAACCAAAGACAAGAAGGATGGCAGGGACAAGTCAGACCGCAGCGCCAAGGACAAGAAGAAAGATCGCTCAGACAAGGAGCGGCCGAGGGAGCAGCCGAAGGAGCAGAGGACGAAGACACCACCTCCACCTTCAGCTGCTGAGAAGGGGGAGAAGAGTGATAAGAAGGAAAAGAAGGATAAGGAGAAGAAGGAACGCCAAGATGATGACCCTCGCCCATCTGGCCGTGATGACTCACAGACTCCTTCGAAGAAGTCCAAGGCAGCGCCTCCGAATCCTGATCCGCCTGGAGAAGATGACGATGAGGAGTACTCCGAGTACACCTACGAGGAGCAGGAGGAGAGTGAAGAGTCAGAAGGGTTCGAAGAAGATCCGCCGGTGACACCATCCAATCTCACTGACGACAGCCGTGGCCCGAGGCAGTATCAGAGGAACCCTCGTGATCCACGCCTTCGACCACCACCAGGTCCACCATCATCGGATCCGACTTCGTCCAACGTGACATCAACTCCAGCTGCTTCGAATCGTACATCATCCAGAGCATCAGGTTCGAGTGCATCTACGGCTTCCACAGGTGAGATCCGTGCACTCCTGGGTCAACAGGCGAAGAAGCAGCAGGACAGGTCGAAGCCTTCGCTCAGTCAAGTCCGCCTGGAAATGTTCAGGGGTTCGAGATCCCACTTCAAAGAGTGGAAGCACACCATTGAGGCCCAGCAGGCGCTGGATGAGGCCGAATTGGCCATGTTAATCTACCTTTCATGCCAGGGAGAGCCGCGTCAAATCCTGAATCAACTTCAAGTCTCCGAGATGAGGGAGCCAGGAGGACTCAACAGAGTCATGCGGCTGCTTGAGGAGTCCTATGGTGCCAGATCTGATGAACGCTTCGAAGAGCGCCAGGAAGCTTACTTGACGTATCGCCGTGCCCCAGGTCAGAGCGTCGCTTCCTACATCAGCGCCTTGAAGAGACTTCGAACAGAGTACCTGGCAGAAGACACAGGCACCACGCTGTCGGACAAGAGTTTTGCCCAGAGAATGCTATCTCGTGCTTCCCTCACCAAGAAGGAGCGGATGGACATCTTCTACAGTGCTGGCGGCAAGTATGCATCCAATGCCATCGAGAAAGTTCTCAAGTTTCGATGCTCGAATGTCCATCTTGACGAGACCAAGTATCGCCCTCAGGACAAGCACCATCATCCTCGCAGGTGGAAGACTTCATCGACCTCCAAGTCAAGTCGCCCGAAGCCTCACCGATCCTCTCGTGCACATCTAGCCAATGTCAAGGAGGAGCCGGACTGGGACGATGACGAGGAGGGCATCCCAGAGGAAGAAGGTGATGATGAGGCCTACTACGAAAATGAAGACGATGAGGCTGACAATGAAGACCTGGAGCAGGAGGCCTACCAACAGGACTACTATTGGGATGACGAAGATGAAGAAGGCGACTGGGATTGGGATGATGAAGGCATGGACTTGAGAGAGGCCTATGCAGCTGGATGGCGTGCCAAGCAGAAATCCGCAGAAGCTCGCAAAGCACGAGGCTACAGTGACGCCAAGTCCAAGGGCAAAGGCAAAAAGGGCAAGAAAGGTGGTGGCAGGTTCGTGGAGTACCGCACGAAGGACCAGCGGAAGGCCAAGTCCAAGTGCGCATCATGCAAACAGATTGGACACTGGCATGGTGACCCTGAATGTCCAAATGTGAAGAATGGGACTGACCCTCCACGTGATGATCCCGCGAAGTCGCAGGTCAACTTCACCACCGACACTTCCCCCACGGCACGCGGCAGTGGCACAAGGACGAAGGAGGAAGTCAAGCAGGAGGAGGATGACGGCAACAGGCACACTTGGAGCACCAAGGGACTCAATGTGCACAAGGTGAACTGGACATTCATGGAAGGTTGGCAGCGCATCAAGGCCTATTCTTCGGACTCCAGTTCAGCCGTCTCTTCACCCAGCAGCAGTTCAGAGCCAGAAGAACCTCTTGGATTCAGTGCTGGCCGATCGTCGGAGGAAGCATCTGCTCAGAAGAAGGCTTCAAAATATAAAGCAGCTCTCCGTACCGTGGTTTCCGCTTTGGCTGAAGAAGTTGATGAATCTGATCTTAAGTTGAAGAAGAAGCTGCTGAAGAAGCAGGGGCAGTTGCAAGAGAAAGAGAAAGAGCTGGCAAAAGCAAAGAGCAAAGCAAAAGGGTCGAAGCCCGTGGCAATGGAGACCGACCTCGCGCCGGCCGATATGCTGGAGATCCTTCCGCACATGTCAAAAGATGAGAAGAGGAGGCTGTACAAGGAGCTGAAGGCAGAAAGAGATCGTGAAGCTGCCCGATACTTGGACCAGCATCAGACGGCCGAGAAGCTGAAGAGAACAGACAAGCGGCATGATGGAGGCTATAAGGCAGCAAGCTCGTCGACCACCCCGGCACCAGAGCCAGCTTCGACAAGTGATCTTCCTGAGCCAGTTCGACGCAAGCGTCTCAAGCAGTTCAGGAAAGACCTCTATGATGGTGCCTTGGATCGAAAAGGGCGAGTTCGACCTTCAGAAGCATCAGAGCTGCCAACTCCAGAACAGGAGAAGTGCCCTCACCCGTGGCAGAGCTTGAGGTGGGGCGCAAACGGTGCCGCACATTGGGCCTCTTGCAAGGCTTGCAAGTTGAAGAAGGTGCTCTATTACAGCATGGACCATGGTGCACTCACCGCCGAGACGGTCTTGGAGGAGGATCCCATGGATGTCTGGATGCTGGAGCACGCAGCCCACAAAGTGATCTTGGACAGCGGATGTCGCGCGGCAGTCGCTGGTGCGAAGTGGCATGTAAAGATGCGCCAGGCCCTCGACCAGCGTGATCTTCCCTATGAGGTGCTGGAGCATGAGGAGACTTTTCGCTTCGGTGCTGGAGCCCCAGTTTTGTCAACGGAAGCTGGTCTCTATCCAGTGGTCTTGGGGGGAACTGGCATCCGATCGTGGCTGAGAGTCGCTGTGGTGGATGATACCAAGCAGGATCCCCGGATTTCCAATTGCCTGGCATTGGTTGGACCTTCAGAGCTGGCACGCTGGAAGGTCACTATGGACTTCGCCAAGGGCATGACGGTGATCGATGGCTGCAGCACACCTACGGAGCTCTCACCAACTCGACACCCCGTTCTCGAGATTCTTGGTGATGATGGCAAGGCAGAGGACTGGAACACCTCCGAACTTCGAGAACTTCGAGCTGTCCTACGAGCAGATCCACGCAAGCTGGCCCTTTGGCAGAGCCAAGATGAGCTTCCCCCTCCAAGCAGGAGGCGACATCTTCAGATGAATCTGAGGTGTCTTTCTACTCCCTGGCTGAGCCAGAATCAGATCTCGAAGATCTTGCTCTGTGGCAGAGCCACATGGAAGATGAGGCCATCAGTGGTTTGGACCAGATCGTGCACAAGTCCCCACCAAGGAGGCGGA